TTAGGTGTTTCATATATTGTGTTAGCTAGCTAATTAATAGAGAGAAGTGTCCTCTCTTATGTTCGTGCTTGGTCGACGCTACGTATTATACATAGAGAGGCCCTCGACACGCTAGCTAGTAAGAAAATGAAGGAAACCATTAAGTACAGAAGTTCGTCATGCATACCGAGAGAAGTGATCGATCGACCTCTCCTTCTCCGAGAGATTGGTCGAACAACAAGTTTTTGTATTATCTATCCGACGCTACTGGCTACATACATATACAATATGTAAGATCTCTTACAATCCCCTAGCAATTGAAATCAACTTCCACATGGTATTCTCCGGCTTTATTAATGACGTGGTCAAGAAAGAATTCCGCCAATTCCTCTTGAATTGCTTTCATGCGATCTTGTGGTAGGAGTTCATTCCATATCTGCCACGTCTAATTTGAAGAAGGGGGTTAATACATATATATGAATGAAACTCAACAGCAATGATGGTGTAATAAAATGAAATTGTGAATATTATTGCTTACGCACTTCATATTGTCTTTTAGAGTAGCCCCGCTTATTTTTCAAAGTCGCGTTGTAGATGAACTCGCACACGTAGTATCCACAGTAATTATTCCCTTGTTCTTGCCACAAGCACTTTAGGAGAAATAGAGGTCAGTCAAACTGATAATGAAGCATTATAAATGGCATTGATGAAAGTATAGCTATAGAATCAAACGGAGATGCGCGCAACTAGCTAGCCAGTAGTACTTACTTTCGGGTATGTATATCGCAGCTCCTTCGGCAGTCCCGGAGGTTCTGCGGTGAACTGTTTCCAAACACTGCAAGACAAAGAAAATAATTATTATTCCTCTGTCCGGGATGACGTCAGGGGAAAGTGGCAACAGTGCCGCGTCGTGCGGGGATCCCCGCCTGTACAGGGCATTGTGGCCACGCCATGCCCAAGATTTGGAGGTGAAGGGCTTCACTGTAGCCATGCCCCATCTCATCCTCTTAACGGGGGCGCAGACTCTGAGGCTGCCAGGTGGCCGCCTTTCCGACGCCGTCCTCTCCAGAGGCTGGCTGACTGGAGCCGGCTGCTCGTGGTGCCGTCTGTGGGTGGTTGGCCGTCCTCTGGGGGCCGGCCGTTGGGCTAGCCAGCACCCGGAGGGCGGAGTTTTTAGCATGGGGCACTGTGAGCCGAAGCTGGCCCGAAGTTTTGATATCTTCAGGGACTCGGGTGAGGCTACCCGTGGCCCATTACTCTGACATAAACGTTGGATGAGCCAATAATTTTGAACTAAAAAGGAAATTACATGCACATATATCAAGGCCTTTTAGCTTCATCCATTTTAAAACTCTCGGGTGTTTTTACATTCTAGACTTTTGCAAATATTTCTATCATTCTTTCATTAAGATGGATGGACGCAACGCGACAACGTGCGCCTTCACGTTTTAATTTAGTGTATATATAAGTAGATCTTTACCCTGTTCGTGTGCTTTAGCCAAGCTCATGTACGACTCACAAGCAACTTGTATTTAGTCAGAGCCATTGGCCAGGGAGATATTTTTCTAAACTATTGGTCAGGGAGATCAGTTGTGGTTGTTAGACTATGATTTGGTCTACTGTTGGACTTGTGTTACTAGTCCGAGCTAGTCGCACGCTCCATGCATCCACCGCCCTTGCATGGCGCATGCAAGGCTGTTAGCCGCACTTATCTTTCCATCCATCTAGGATCGATGAGTTAGTCTGTTTACGTGCGTGTGTATCTCTCTCCCTCTCTCTCATGTACTCTATTATATATTACCCCATTGTGAAGGAATACGAATGTGTGATGCATTGCAACCCCTAGCCTATCTTCTATCATGGTATCAGCTTAGATCTTTCCACTGCTTCCGCCATGGACGCCGAGGCCGCCGCCGCCGCCGCCGCCGCCACGACTACGCCTCCGGCGCCCTCCTCCCAACCTCTGGGCTCCATCCCGCAGCCCCCTCCTCCACCCTCTCCTCCCTCCTCCGTAGTACACACGCCTCTCCCTCTCCAGACTGCGCCGCCGGTCGCCAGCTTCCCTTCTGCGGCCTATATCCACGCGATGCGCGTCGAGAGTGCCCACATCAACCTCGGCGTCCGCCTCGATATGAAAGGGGCCAACTACTCGACTTGGCGTGGCCTCATGCTTGAGGTCATCGACCAGTACGATGTGGCGGCTTGGATCGCGCCGGACTTCACCAACCGTGCCGGCGACGTGGCGTGGAACATCGTCAACAAAGCCGTCAAGCGCTGGTCCTACAGCTCCATGGTCACGGAGCTCGCCGGCTTCGTCCTCAACAGAGAAGCCACGGCGGCCGAGCTGTGGTCCTCCATCGAGTCCTTGTTCGTCAACAACAGGCGCTCTCGGCACTTCCAGCTCACGGCGGAGCTCTTCGCCATCAAGCAAGGAGACGCCCCGGTCTCCTCCTTCTGCGCACGCCTTAAGGCCGTCGCGGACGGGCTGCGGAACACCGGCAAGGTGCTGGACGACGATGAACTCGTTGTTCAGCTCCTCCGTGGCGTCAACAAGGACCGTCATGAGATGACTGCAAAAATCATCGAGAAATCTCAAACTCCCGTTCCCTTCGATGTTGCAGTTGGTATGCTCCTCCAGGACGAGATCGGCGCTGACTTCTCCCCCTCGGGCGTCTCCCACACCGCCCTCGCCATCCAGCAGCGTCCACCTACCCCTGCCTCCTCCTCTGGCGGGCACGCCAGGCCTCCTGTGCCCGGGCAGGGCGGCCCCAAGCCTGGTACTCCTTCGCCAAACCAGGGGAACAACAAGCGGCGCCGCTACACCAACAACGGCGGCTATCAAGGCGCCGCCAACTCGCCGCCGCCCTGGACTGGGCACGTGTACGCATACCCCGTCTCGCTACCGCCTCCGCCTCGTCCGCAGGGGATCCTTGGGCCGCGCCCAGCTCAGGCCTACACGGCCTACGCGCCGCTCCAGTACGGCGGTGTGCCGTACGGACCGGCGGGCTATGGGGGGGCGTCGTATGGTTCGGTACCGTACCCGGCCGCCCCTCTGATGCAGCAGTCGCCGCCCCTTCTGGCTGCACCTCCGCAGCCGCAGCAGCACCACACCACGCAGGCTTCGGATGGAGTGGATCAGGCGGCGCTGATGGGGGCTCTCCACAACCTGACGCTGCAGAACTCCACCAACGGGTGGATAGCGGGCTCAGGCGCTTCTTCTCACATTACCTCGGACCCAGGTATGCTCTCGCCGGTTACCCCGATCACCAATTATTCCCCTGTATACGTTGGAAATGGACAACCCATGCACGTCACGCACATAGGATCAGCCGCACTTGCTAATCCCTCCCGTCCTCTCTATCTTCAGAACGTTTTGGTCACTCCTAATATCGTCAAAAACCTTCTTTCCATTCGTCGCCTTACTACTGACAATAATCTTGCCGTAGAGTTTGATCCTTTTGGTCTGACTGTGAAGGATTACATCACCAAGGCGGCGCTGCACCGATGCAACAGTAGCAGCGAGCTCTACCCAATCTTCGCCAACAACGCTTCGAGTGACGCCGCAGTTGCCTTCAGCGCCACCGTCTCCCGGCTCACGGATCTGTGGCATCGCCGGCTCGGCCACCCCGGCGCCCATACTTTTTCCAATAAAGGGTTTCCTTCATGTAATAAAAACTCTGCTTGTGTACCACTTTGTCATGCCTGCCAGTTGGGCAAGCACGTTCGTTTGCCTTTTTATCCATCACGTAGCTCTACTAGTGCTGCTTTCGAAATAATGCATTGTGATCTCTGGACAGCTCCCATCTCCAGTGTTTCTGGCAACAAATACTACCTTATCATCATTGACGATTACACTAAATACCGGTGGACGTTTCCTCTTGTCCTTAAGTCCGACGTGCATGCTATTTTTCGTTCGTTCCATGCTCTTGTTCGCACCCATTTTCATCGCACTATCGCCACATTCCAATGCGACAATGGCCGAGAGTTTGACAACGCTAGTAATCGCGACTTCTTCCTTCCTTTTGGTACGACCATGCGTTTCTCCTGTCCTTACACGTCTTCACAAAACGGCACTCCTGAGCGCGCTATTCGCTCCACTAACGACGTTGTACGGACCCTTCTAATTCAAGCCAACATGCCGCCTAAGTACTGGGCTGACGCCCTCTCTACTGCCACCCATCTTCTCAATCTTCGGCCAACCAAAACCCTACTCCGATCTACTCATCACGAGGCTCTTTTCTCTCAACCTCCTACGTATGATCACCTTAGGGTTTTCGGATGTCTTTGTTTTCCCAACATGTCCGCCACTGCTGCCCACAAGTTGGCACCGCGGTCGACGGCGTGTCTCTTTCTTGGATATCCTACGGATCACAAAGGCTACCGCTGCCTTGATCTCTCTACACACCGGGTTCATATCTCTAGGCACGTTGTTTTCGACGAGACCGTTTTCCCGTTCGCTAGTCGCCCTCCTGCGAAACCCTCTATTGCTGATCTTTTTCCCGATCTACCAACCGGCCCTAGTTTCCCAGCTAGTCCCCTCCCACCATCTCTTCCTAGCCCGGTAGCAAAACCAGTCAGTCCTGCTTCGTCCACGCGAGCGGCCATCCCGTCCTCTCCCGTCTCCTCTACGGACGTTGCCACACCAGCCACTACGCCCAGCCCTTGCTCCCAGCCTAGTTCGTCTAGCGAACCCAACCCAATGTCTACTGCACCCAGCCCTGCCTCGGCGAGTTCTGTAGGACCGGCCGCCTCGTCCACTCCCGCGCCAGCTAGCGCTAATCCTTCCCAACCTAGCACGCCTCCACGACCACTGCCGCCCCATGCAGTCGCTGTTCAACCCCCCGCTAACCCACATCCCATGCGTACGCGTGCTAAATCCGGGTTTACCCTCCCCTCTCGCAAACTTAACTTTCTTGTCGACGCTCCTAACATTTCGCCCCTACCTCGCACTTATCGTGCTGCCCTTGCCGACCCTAACTGGGCTGCTGCCATGACTGATGAGTACCAGGCACTCCTTCAGAATGACACTTGGACACTTGTTCCCCGTCCTGCTGGCTCTCACGTCGTCAGCGGGAAGTGGGTTTTTCGTGTCAAGTATCATTCCGATGGAACCCTTGCGCGCTACAAAGCACGTTGGGTTGTCCGTGGTTTCTCTCAGACCGAGGGGATCGATTACGATGAGACCTTCTCACCAGTCGTTAAGCCTAGCACCATCCGTGTCGTTCTCACTCTCGCCATCTCAGCCTCTTGGCCCGTTCACCAACTCGATGTCAAGAACGCCTTCCTCCACGGTCACTTAGCCGAGACTGTCTACTGTCAGCAGCCTCTCGGGTTCGAGGATCCTACTGTGCCTTCGCACGTGTGTCTCCTTCGTAAGTCTCTCTACGGTCTTAAGCAGGCCCCGCGCGCCTGGTTCACTCGCTTCGCCGCCTTCCTAGTGACTATAGGATTCACCGCCTCCAGATGCGACACCTCCTTGTTTATCTACCGTTCCTCGAGTCACACTGCCTATCTCCTCTTATATGTCGATGATATCATACTAACTGCGTCATCCTCCAGTTTCCTTCAGTATGTCATTTCTCGTCTTCGACAGGAGTTTGCCATGACTGATCTGGGATCTCTCTCGCACTTTCTCGGAATCTCTGTTACACGCTCTTCCTCCTCCCTTTTTCTCTCGCAACGGCAATACGCGCTCGACATTATCCAGCGTGCCGGCATGTCCGAGTGTCATATTAATCGTACCCCCATCGATTCCGGCGCAAAGCTTTCCGTTAACACCGGTGACCTTCTTGACGCTGCTGACGCTACCACCTACCGCAGTCTCACCGGTGCTTTGCAGTATCTCACTATCACTCGCCCCGATCTATCTTACTCCGTTCAGCAGGCGTGTTTGTTCATGCATGCGCCTCGCACCTCCCACCTTAGCCTTGTCAAACGCATAGTTCGGTACGTTAAGGGCACTTTAGATTTCGGTATGCACATTACACCTTCTACCTCCACCTCTCTTGTTGCGTACTCCGATGCCGACTGGGCTGGCTGTCCCGACACTCGTCGTTCCACGTCTGGTTACTGCGTTTATTTTGGGGATAATTTGGTTTCGTGGTCATCCAAGCGACAGCTAACTGTTTCCAGGTCCAGTGCGGAGGCTGAGTATCGCGCCGTCGCTCATGCTGTTGCCGAAACTACATGGCTGCGGCAACTTCTGCAGGAGCTTCACCAGCCAGTGTCCAGATCCACTGTTGTCTACTGTGACAACGTGTCTGCTGTCTACATGTCTGCTAACCCTGTGCAGCACCGTCGTACGAAGCATATCGAGATTGACATTCACTTTGTGCGTGACAAGGTTTCGCTTGGCGAGGTTCGGGTTCTGCATGTTCTCACTTCTTCACAGTATGCTGACATTTTCACCAAAGGGCTGCCAACCACGCTCTTTGCTGAATTTCGATCCAGTCTCAACGTCCGGCAAGCCCACGTTGACACTGCGGGGGGCTGTTAGACTATGATTTGGTCTACTGTTGGACTTGTGTTACTAGTCCGAGCTAGTCGCACACTCCATGCATCCACCGCCCTTGCATGGCGCATGCAAGGCTGTTAGCCGCACTTATCTTTCCATCCATCTAGGATCGATGGTTAGTCTGTTTACGTGCGTGTGTATCTCTCTCCCTCTCTCTCATGTACTCTATTATATATTACCCCACTGTGGATGAATACGAATGTGTGATGCATTGCAACCCCTAGCCTATCTTCTATCAGTGGTTGTGACCATTTGAATCTTTTGATGCTCCTCTCATCTTGTCGGCTCTTCTCATTCTCTCGGCATACTTGTTGATGTCGAAGGCCGTACCGGTGCTTCTTCCTCCAAATGAAGATTCCAGCGTATCCAAGTCAAAGATGTCAGCCATTATCTTGATGCTCTCCGGCTTGTTTGCATACACAAACTTCACTTTCTCTTTCATGTCTGGCTGCACGAAGTTCTTGGCTATCTGCAAATCAAACAAAGGGCAGAGTAGATAAAATCAGGGTTGAGATTTTCACTGATAAAACAGGAAGCACACTCTCACAAGACGGCAAACATTGGATGAAACACTACAGTTTGGATTAGAATCTTTGCATACCTTCCAGAAAGACTCAAAAATCCTTGGAGGGTCGAAAGGGATCGCCACGCCTATCACCCCCGGATAATAGTTTTGGATTATGTGTATGGATTCGCGGGTTATCGACAGCGGCGAGCTCGATATCGACCAGCCTCGGAAGTCGGTCAGCCAAACGACGAAGTCGTCTTGTTCATCCGCCGAGTTGGTGGCGAAATGCTCCAGGAGATACACCAGGTGCTTTATTTGCTCCTTGGCTGAAACTTTAGACTGTTTTTGTTGTACAAGTTAGTGTTGGTGTTCCTGTAAGGCTGTAATGACCAATGTCTGCTAATGGATTGATCATTGTAATAGACCATGCACGCATGCAAAATTAATTACGTTCATTGGTACGTTTGATACGAGGACACTTCTTCCATTCTTGTCAAGGTAGTCGGCCACATGTGTCCTCCGGGCCTCGTTCTCCACTTCTGGAATGTCGTCCTGCCATTTTTTCGAAACAGAGAAGAGTCGCTTACACAACACAATCACGCAGCTATATATGAGCAGATATTTTGCGCCGTATGTAGTCACTTGTTGAAATTTCTAGAAAGACAAGTATTTAGGAACGGAGGGAGTAGAATTTATAAGAGGGGCTTATATACTATGAGAAATTTGACTGACCCAGGAAATTGCATTCGGCCTGTACTCACGCCTCCACTTGACAGTCTCCTTGAGACCCTTGGTGGCTTGCTCTGCGCTCCAGTTCCTCGCCCGGAGGAAACGGCGGATGGTGGCGTCCGACAGAAAACTCGGCATCTCCTCCGTCAGATTGCCCAGGAGACCCCGCACCTCATTTATCTGCATGGACGTTCGTGCAAATCAAGATATAAAGTTACTAGCAGTAGTAGTTAATCTCTTCCCGTGAAAAGTTACTATAGTTAATTACTTTCAAAAATCAATGGGTGCATCTGCATCCATGTTTTATTCAGAAGTGATTGAACATGTTCTGGTAACGAATTCGAGCTCACTTGAAGATCAGATCCACATGCATGGATTTGCAGTGTCCATTATATGTTCCACAAACAGAGTACATATATATGAGAATTGTACTGCAGTTCCACCCACAAAAGCTGCGACTTACAGATTGGATCGAAAACATACAACGGAAACACAACACGCAGCCATGGCCATGGCCAGCAGGAAGGAATTCAGACAGAGAGAAGACTTGTCAATTACCTTTTCCTGCTGCTGTTCTTCCGAAGACGACGCTCTCTGCTGCGCGGCTTCTTCGCTCCTGGTCGTCTTCTTCAGCTGGTAACTCATTTTGCTTCAGAGCTGCCCACAACCACACTGACACTGCAGTGCTCTGAAACATGATCCTCAATGACCCACCGGCATTATATATCATTGGGCGAGATGGAAGAACATCACAGACACGGGTAGTTGGCGTGAGCGTGGTTGCTTGCAGCTGCCATAATGGATGGCATCATGATGGGCGACCGAACCACGTACTGCCACTGCAATAGGGTGGCGACACGCTCGTCCTGTTCGCGCCATCGATCGGGCAAGGCAATGCAATGGCATCACGTCTGTCTGTTGATGGCATTCAATGCCGGCTTCTGTCTCCTCTCCTGATTGACAATAAGGGGGGCAGTTGGGTGTTGGGCATTTAACTGCAAGACGCGGTGAGCTAGTAGTAGCGGTCTTCTAATTAATCCAACGACTGTATATCATGTGCAGGATAATGGAATTTTAGGACGGATGATTACTCCAGATTTGTCCTGGTTGACACCGATGGTTCATGGTTGGCAAGCAACAAGTCATTTAGGAGGGCGTGGGTACAGTTCATCCACCCGGCTCGACAACGGCCGGGCTTGGAATTTTCCTTGATCGTCGCCGCACTTCAGCGTAGAATTTGGACTCGAAGAAATGGAAAAAATCTTTATACAAGAAGTGCCAAGTGTTAGCTGTTGGAAATTCAGGCTTAAGGAAGACCTAACTCTATTGCAGCACGGAATAAAGGCAAAGGCACAGGAAATAATAATAAAAAAATATTCAGGTCAGTAGACCACCTAACGACGACTACAAGCACTGTAGCGAGCCGAATGTGCATCGTCATCATCGCCCTTCCTTCACCATAGCCGGGCAGAATGTTTGGGCAGTTTGAATTAAACTGCTGAAACATCTTATATTTCGGAATGAAGGTAGCACTGGAGAGTCGAAAAGTCGTTGTGCTAAGGCCCAACGGGACCAGTGCACCAGAACAGCAATCGTCATCGATAAAGAGAAGTGTAGATCAAAAGGATCCAACACGTAGAAACAAACACAAACGAAAACTGGGTCCATGAATACCCATCGAAGAGTAATAACGACCGAATCCCACAAGATCCGTCGAAGATACAACTCCACACGCCCTCCGATGACTCTAGATGCATCACCGAGACAGGGCCTAGATGGAGAGTAGATTGCTCCATCTTCAGGGAACCACCGTCGCCACACCTTCCGGACTAGGACACAAACCCTAGTCGATCTCAAAGAAATGCCTAAAGACGAAACAACAACCCTCCCACCGGCAAGGGGCGTAGTCCACCGCGCCTCCATGGCCCTAAGGCCACCGACCACTAGGCGGACCGGCAGCGGCACCGGCGGGAGGTCAAAAAACCCTAATCTCAGGTGGAATCACTGCAAGAGACGAATGGGTATACACATGGTGTGAAAACTTATAGCTTTGGGTATGTCCCTTTTATCAATGTATTTTTATGAAGCGATAGTACTAGACACACGCACACGCATGAACTACAGACTTTCTTGGAGAACATTGTGTGCCATCTTCTAATTGCACCTCCATGAATTTTATTGGTGAGCCCGCTTCACTTAATTAAATTTCAGTCAATCAAATCCTAACCACCCGTAAATCCCCTGTAAACCCCTCGTGTATCTAGCATTACTCTTTATGAGGTGTTTTATAACTACGTTAAAATTTGGAGTAAAATAGCACCTTGCCATTATTCCATTCTCATGAATCGGACACTGACCCATACAAATTGTATCTGCAAGTGGGTTTGTATATGGGCATCCCATCTTAACCATCAACATTTACACGGATTATATGGGTACAAGAATTAAATTAACAATACTCATGACCCCCTAATCAACTCGAGACATGTGTCAACAACTCATAAAAAATATTCAAATCCGTTTAAAATACAGAATCTTTTTTTCACCATATTTAAAATGGCACGTGGATAATTTTTATAGGGAGCGAAATTTCTTGACATGTCTGTATTACCCAATATATCTTCCAGGATGTGATAAGTTTGTTTCGGACTAAACGGGTCCCTGAGGACCTACACACGTCCATTGTGGCCGTGTGGCCGAGAGTTTGATTGTCCTAGGGTTGTATGCCCGGGCACGTGCATTGTTCACCTTGGAACCGATCTAGGTCAACCAGTGCATTATTCACCATAGAAATAAAAATTGTGAACACTGAAACCGATGTAGGCCGACTGAGCGGGCTGCCCATTTCCTATTCTGCACCTTAAGCGCCGGTTACAGTGTACAACCGGCGCACAACCCTCCGACTGAGCGGGCTGCCCATTTAGGACCGTGGTTGTACTCTGTTTTCTTCTGGTGTCTTTTTTGCGTGTTTTGTGTGTGTGTTTTTTGTTCCTTTTTTGGGCTGGCGTTTGTTTGGTTTTGTCTTTTCTTTTTCATTTCCTTTTTAAATTTTAATTTTTATGAACCTTTTTCAAATTCCTGAACTTTTCTAAAATTCTTCAACTTTTTCAAATGCATGAAAGTTTAGCTCATGAAATTTTTTAAAATTCATGATTTTTTTTTCAAAGTTCACTACTCTGTTTTACTAATTGTGCAAACTTTTGATTTATATTTTTTCATATTTTATGAACTTTTTATTGAATTAATGGACAACTGGTCAACGCATCAACCGGTCAACCAATGAGATGCATGCGAGCGAGGATGCGCCAGGAGATGCGAGTGAACGCAGCCTCTTGTTTTCTGGGCCGCCCACTACCCCTCGCATTCAAGCGCCAGCACGGCTAAGCTGCGCTAAGATCGCTGAACAGGAGCTCTCCGGGCCGTATTTCCTATTCCGAGCGTCAGTTCCAGTGTAACTCACTAACCGGCGCACAACCCTCCAACTGAGCGGGCCGGCCCCATTAGGACTACCTGTAGTGTGTTTTATTCTGGCGTTTTTTTTTGGCGACCGGTTTTGTGTGTGTTCGTTTCTGTGTATTTTTTGGCTGGGTTTTGTTTGGTTTCGTCTTTCCTTTTTATTTTCCTTTTCTTAATTTTCATTTCATGAACTCTTTCTCTTTCCGAATTTGTTAAATTTCAGAAATTTAAATGCTTGTGAACAGTTTTCGAAATTTTTTGTTTTTAAAAATTTAAAGAACAATTTTTTTTCTAATTTCGCAAACCATTTTCAAATTGGTGAACATTTTTTAAGATCTATGAGATTTTTCAAATTTTTTTCAACTTTTTTCGTGAACGTTTCTCAAATTCGCAGTTGTTTAAAAAATTAGTCAACTCTTTTTGGATTTATGTTTTTCATATTTTATCTACTTTATAAAAAGCCAATGGACAACTGGTCTACCGGTCAACCGGTCAACAAACGAGATGCATACGAGCGAGCAATGCGCCAGGAGATGCGAGCGTTGAACAGGAGCCCTCCCGACTAGCCGTATTGGGCCATAAATCTTTCTTTAAAAAATATGTGTACACGCTGAGGAACAAAAACCATGGCTAGTGTCCATATACATGTTTCTAATTTCGCAAACCATTTTCAAATTGGTGAACATTTTTTAAGCTCTATGAGATTTTTCAATTTTTTTTCAACTTTTTTCGTGAACGTTTCTCAAATTCGCAGTTGTTTAAAAAATTAGTCAACTCTTTTTGGATTTATGTTTTTCATATTTTATCAACTTTATAAAAAGCCAATGGACAACTGGTCTACCGGTCAACCGGTCAACCAACGAGATGCATACGAGCGAGCAATGCGCCAGGAGATGCGAGCGTTGAACAGGAGCCCTCCCGACTAGCCGTATTGGGCCATAAATCTTTCTTTAAAAAATATGTGTACACGCTGAGGAACAAAAACCATGGTAGTGTCCATATACATGTTTCTATGTAAATGACATACTAACACAACTTAATCCAAGCCGATAATTATAATCCTAACTGGCCAAATAATTCAGATGATGTGGACAAACACGGTGGCTTGATTTTATATCCGTATTAGCGACAGGGGGAGTCGAACGTACCTACAGGTTCTGGCACCTACGCTTTTCCTCTCCCCAATAACCATCTGGGTGAGGCCTGAGTTGTGATTAGTTATAGGTTAGATAAATTTTCTACCGTAAAGATGCCGTTGAGGTGAGTAAATTTGGTGAGTAATTTTTTTTAAGGGGGCGAGGTGAGTAAATAGAACGAAAAAAGTAAGTGTGTTACAAATGAATCAATCCGCATTGCCAACACCAGGGCTGATCATACTTAGCCCATTAACGAGCCAAGTCGGTCAAAAGTTGCCACAGAATGTATGGAAAAAGACCTTTTTAACATTTTCATTAGCATATCCGTACAGAAAAATTGTCGAAGAGTTTGGGACTTTTCAAGTCAATAATTTCAGTGTAAGTAGCATGGTAACTTACGCACCACAACCATTATATAACTTACACAACTCGTACGTGATAATTTTGGACCTGAAAAAAGTTTCCGAAACATACCAAAAATGGAAGTTTTGAAAGTCTCGTCGCAACGGACTTAATGGTGAAAACAAATTTTAAATCAGACCAACGGTTTGAGCTATAAGACGTTTTAAATTTTCAAATAGGAAGAGTCTTATATGGAGGAAAGTCGTCTAGAATGCGCACGCGGTTTCAGCCAGAGTGCGCCGCCGGAAGGGGAGGAGCTAGCACCGACGGAGAGGAGCAGCAGGGGAGACGGCCGGAGGAGAAGCGACGGGTGTGCGAGAAGGTGTGGGTGGCACGGCAGCGATGGGGAGGAGGAGTCGGTGGCAGATCAGTATGTATAAGAAACATTTGAAATTAGATAAGCCGCGGTTTGTACCTGTATATAAGGAACTCTTTCACGGGTGCCTTGGGCCGGGAACTCGGCAAAACCGTCTACATTGTGGAAAGAAAAAGGATAAATGTATGACGAAAACTATGCCAAGTTTCGTAATGCGGGAGCTCCGCAAACTCAGTCTGCCATAACAGAGTACACAAACTACCCTTGTTGCCACGTGGCGTAAACTTTGCTGAGTACGGCCTGCCAATGCGAGAAGCTCGGCGTAGTCCGTATGAGCCGAGTTTATTTTGTTTGCCGAGTTCATTTTATCTTGCTCTCAACAACGGCATGCATCTGCCGAATCGGGCACGTCGCCGAGAAACGTACTCGCTTACGTGTTTTTTGTCGAGCTTACGTGATTTGACTCTCGGCAACGACCAACTTTCCAGTAGCGGGGGTTGAGATGTCATGTTCGAAGTTGCAAAATCTTTGTTCAAAACACGTTACAGCAGAAGTGTAACTTTATTTTTCAAAATGAAAGAACATTGGCTTGCAGCACAGTTACACTTGTAGACGAACAATTCCGTTGGCGAGAATTGAACTAAGAAATAACAAAAGAAAAGATAACAATGATGGATGTTAAAAGAAAGTCCAAACTTTACAGCGGTAACTCTCGCTTGCAGGATGGAAGCAAACAATGGAGATGCAACAATGATGCATGCACTTAGTAGTAGTTGATTGCGCGACAGTTCTTCCTGATCTGTCCCTGGTCGCCGGTCTTGACCTCAATGCCGGCCATCTTCACCATGGCCTTCTCGAACCTGTCCTCCCACCACCCGGGGATGTTGGCGTTGTCCACCACCATCCTGGCCGTCTCCTCCGACGTCAGGAGTGCCGCGTCAGAGGTGAAGAGCACCGTGTGCGACAACACGTTGTTGTAGTACTGCTTGTCCATGTCATTTGGGGTCACCACGTCCTGCATCACCGTTGGGTCCTTGCCGCCCGAGGCGGCGTCTGCGGGGCACTGGCCACGCAGGAATGCGGCAAGGCCGCCGTCGATGTCGGAGGAGACGTTGAGGCGGTCGGGCACGAAGGCGGAGCAGTGGGAGCGCCCGATGGTGTGCGCTCCAGAGAGGATGACCAGGTCCTCCACGTCAAGGCCCTTGACGACAAAGCTGTCCACGAGGTCGCTGAGGTTGGATGCGGGCGGGGCGAGGAACTTGAGCGGCTCGGAGGCGTTGGAGAAGGTGCCGTCGCGGCGGCCGGATGGCACCTCGAAGTCCACCTTGCCGGCGCTGAGGATGCAGGACGCGTCGCGGGCCGAAAAGGCGATGATGTCGGCGCATGAGACAACGTCTGGGCAGGCCGCCTCGAGGGCATCCTTGATGGTGTCGATCAGCTCGAAGCCGCGCAGGGAGGGGTTGTTGGGCGGGCTGAGCTTCTCTGGCATCGGGCTGAACGGGGTCGGGTCCAGGAGGACCGAAGCATCACAACCCTAGGTGACCACCAAAGATTTGACAAAATCAATCAACTATAAAAGTATACATGCATGTTTGCATTGCAATTTATTATTGTTGAGGGAATCGTTAACTGGTAGCTGTTCGGGTGGTTGTTGAATAGGTGATTAATAAGCTAATCAACTGATTTATTAGTTTGTCGGCTATTCGATAACTCTACGAATAGGGAAGTTAACTGATTAATCGAACGAATTCTTGAACAAGGCAACTTATTTCTTGCCGTGAGTAGGACGTACCTCGACGAAGCAGTCGTGGAAGAGCATGCGGATCATGGCGGCGCCATTGCCGGGGTTCTGGGAGATGGCCTCCATCATGACGCCCTTGACGATGGCCTCCGCCTCGGGGCACCTGTCGTGGTAGAACCCGATCTGCAGAGGGCTGGCCTGGCACCCCACAGCAAGGAGCAGCAGCAGGGCAGAAGCCACCAACACTTGCAGCTTCTGAGCACCCGCCGCCATTGTTTGAAGCTAGCTCGAGTGCCTGACTAAGATTGGAAGATGAGATGTGGGAGGTGACCGATGGATGGGTCGGGAATGCCTGCTAGCTGTTGTATATACTTCGAGCATGATGTTGCTTATATAGGTGGGCATTCGAAGCATATGTTGTCGACTAGCCTTGTGCTTCATGGGAACATTACTAGTTACGTACACCGGCCGGTAGTTGCCACCAATCGTCGACGTTCAGTTCGCAGTGGAATTAATCAGAGGGCGTCGGTAATGAATGATATGATACACAAATAGCGAGCTAACCTTGAGTTTTTAGAAGATGACAGCTCTCACTAACCCTGATGGTTACATGGGGTTGACTTGACTGATGTATGAATCGGCCATGTATAAGCTGGACTGGGCCTAGCTATTTTGTACTGATATAGTAGCTAGACCAAGCAGCTGATTGATGTGGTCACCAGTGGCAGATGGGGACGCATGTTTTCCTGGCTGTTGAGAGGTCAGGTTAGTTAAAAACGTTTCTTAACTTAACTTATAAGGACGTTTACATGTCAATAAAAAAGGCTAAGAACTATTCCTTTTGACCTTTGTCCGTGTGTGCCCGCTTCGTGTCTCAAATCTGTTAGGGCTTGTACTTTGTTTTTGCGGGGTAAAGGGAGTTTTATTAAAATGTCATAGTGTTACAGTTGAGAGGCCACAAACCCTCAATACAAGGTGGAACCGAATGCAACCACACAGCTGTAGCTCGCTCGGAACGACTATAATTGGCGAACCGATCAGCAACTCTATTCTTAGTGCGATAGATTTTCTGAGGTACAAACTTCCTATTACTCATGAACTCCTTAATCTCTAGGACCAAGTGACCATAAGCCGAGCGAGTTAAAACATTGCTCTAAAGGCTCGCTAAGGCTTCAGAAGAATCCGACTGGACGACGACTGGAAGATCCGAGTGTTGGATAGCCAAGGCCATACCTTGCATGAGCGCATGTATTTCGGCCTCCAGGGCGTCGTTACAGTGGAAGAGGACCCAGTATGCTGCAAAAATAATCTATCCTTCATGATCTTGCAACACCATTCCTGCGGCCGCCGAGCTATCTGATGCCTGGAATGATCCATCAACTGACAGTGCAACATAACCCGGACTCGGCACCGGCCAAGGCAAGGATGGAACATCCTTCTTGGGAAGAATTCTTGGAGTCGCCGAAGATGGCATTTTTCCTTTCAGAATTTCATCCACCAAAAACCGACCAGCTAACTTTATGGATTTATAATAACTGTCGAGGAATTCCATCGTAGAAGAAACTGGCGGTACCTCCTTGCCATGAGTTTGGTCATTACGTAGCTGCCAAATGCGCCATACTAAGATGATAATCATGTCACGTACATCATCGGAACATCTGTATAAAAGGTGCATAAGCCATTCCCTTCCATTATTAACTAGGAGATCATCAGGTGGAAGGGGCCATCTTGCACGCATATGTAGCCAAATTTCTCTCGCATGGTCGCATGCGATTAGGGCGTGATATGTGCCTTCCTCCTCCAGACCACATAGTCGGCAAGTTGAGCTTGTGGATATATGTCGCGTCGGTAGTACTCTAGAAACAACTTTCCACGTAGTTACCTTCATCTTCTGCGGAACCAAAGATTGCCACACACAATTTCAAAGAGAGCGGGAACCATTTGCCGCCGCACTTGATGCCCCTTCAGAAAAAACTGTATCATGATCGCATGTGACTAATTTGTATGCACTCTTAACTGAAAATACTCCACTCTTCTCTGGAAACCATGACAGGAAGTCGGAACGCTGCCTTAGAGAGGTGTGTATCTTGAGAATATGTAGAACATCCATCTCCCAAAAATATTCACGAAGACAATCAGCCCTCCATGCCCCATTGGCGTCCAGAGAATCTAAAACATGATTTAGACGGCAGGTTCCCTTCGGGGTGATCAGACGGAAGGAGGATGGCCGTGGGATCCAGGGGTCTCGCCACGTCCGGATGTGCTCCCCGTCCCCCACCCGCCATATAACTCCTCTTTTCAACAACTCCAACCCATGCAATATACCTTTCCACACCGCAGAACCAGTGTTTGGAAACACTGTGTCTAACAACTGACCATGAGGGTAATACTTTGTCTTCAACAGTCTTGCACATAGGCTGTCAGGGGAATCAAGAAGTCTCCAAGCTTGCTTGGCCAATAACGCTTGGTTGAACGCTCTCATATCCCTAAAGCCCATACCCCCCATGGATTTAGGAAGTCTCATTTGTAGAAGTGCATGCTCTAGCCAATGCAACCAAAAAACCGATCTCATGAAAGAGACTAGGCAGCACATTATACATCAACACTGCCTCTCATGTGTGGCTCCCTCAGACCTAAACGTGGACCGAAAGTGGACTGCAATTTAATTATGCCAGTCGGGTCTTGAACTCAAGGCCTCTTGACTCCGATACCATGTAGAAGTGCATGCTCTAGCCAATGCAACCAAAAGACCGATCTCATAGAAGAGACTAGGCAGCCCATTATACGTCAACGTCATTCTGTCCCAACTCATCCAAGCTTGTACTTAGAGACGAATAAATACACACTAACGAACAAATGATTGCACTCAATCTTAATTAGTGGCGCGTCATTTTTAATCCACACCACCAGTAATTTACGCCACCATGAATACGTTATTGGTGACGTGTCTGTATTTTCACACGTCACAAGTGTGTGGGACTAGGTGTCCTGACAAGGTATATGTAAGTAGTGCCGCGTGGTCTATGTGCCATGCTGTTGGTGCTGTCACTAGAGCTTGTGTGGCATCTAACTGACACATCGCTGATGTTTTTCGCAAACACGCGGGGTGTCTATCATTCATTAGTAGGTAGAAAGAAATCGATAATACTACACGCATGGACGAAATCAACGGGCTTTTACGGACTGGACTGCATGCACTACTTTAGTTGCCCCCCCCTCCCGATTTTAAGTGGTGGGTCGGCCTCACTTAACCAAATCCCAACCAATCAATGTTTAACCACTCCGTGATCCCGCTATAAACGTCCGTGCGTCTAGCATCGCTCGAAAGAAATAGGTTGTTCAGCCCAACATAGATAGTAGGGGAGAATAGATATAGTAGTAATTTATATATTCCTTTGGCACCAACATCAGCCCAGAGCCGTGCTTCGTCTTGGATCTGGGAGAATACACACGCAGCTTAGGGTTGGTCGCCCTCAGGCAGCCACGTATCCTAGGGTTCATTTATACGTATATGCCTGTGCCGTTCAACCATTTGGTTACACTTTCGATCGTCTGATTCCGAAACCCGAATGGCTGTCTTTTCTCATTGTCATGCGCTTCCTGTCATGTCTCTTTTGCCCCCCCACCCCCCCACCCCACACACAAAGCCAGATAATTCCTCACTTCTCTGTTTCTGTTGTTTATGCCATGCTACCATCCATTAACTATAGATTTCACTATGGTATGTGGTTGGCTCCTTTTGGCTCTTCCGTGTGTTGCTCACTCACTGCCCAAGTCCTATTGCTCATGGCCCTCGACAGCC